CGTTGGTCTCGCGTCTCTTTTTTAATAAAATCTCCAACCCACCGTCGTCGTATTGAATTGTGCTGAATCGTGGGGCGCTGGAGCCGGCTATGTTCATAGATTCCAATATTCTCTTTTCAAGTTGATCACAATTAAGATGTTTGCCCCCTTTCGTACCACGTAAGAGTCCACGAGCTTGTTTTTTCGATGCTGGATTGATATGCCTCCAAATTCTGTGGCGGCCATCGTACTGGCTTCGTGATGGTGTTGTTATTCTTCTTGTTGGCATTCGTCTTGCTCGTCTCCTTCCGCAGGGCAGCGCTCCGCAGCCGTACCGTGGCGTGGTCGGAACCGAGATCTGCAATATCCGTCGTTCCCACGTCTTTGACTGTTTCCCAAAATCGGCGATTCACCAACAAATAATCGATCTGCTTCTTCACGCTGCCAGGCCCACGGTATGTGCAAGGGTGTTGGTTTTGTTTTTTGAAAAAAATGCTCGTGACTTTGAGTTTGCGGGCCGCCGTCCATTGTCGAAGCCATTGCCCCCGTGCGTTCGCCAAGCCATACCCAAATGGGCCCGTGCTGTTGGAATTGTCATCTGTTGTCTGACCCACTTGAGCGTTGCAGTCCGCTCCAATGGCAAAGTACATATTCCGCCGCTCCGCCTCGTTGTGGATCTCTGTCAGGATGTCATAGATTGACTGCACATGGTGATCCGCATAACCACTGGAGGGAAAATACGCCGTAACCAATCTTAGCCGGAACCCTGGGCGATGAACATCAACATACGCAATTCGTTCCGATATGACCTCACACTTATATATATATATATATATATATATATATATATATATATATAGATTCCCTACCTAGGCTCTGCCTAGAAGGGTTCTTACTCTCTAGCTTAAAGGGCTGGGCAATGGAAACCGCCCCGGGCGGTTCCCCCAGTCCTCGCCCCGCGGTTCCCCCAGTCCCCTGGGAGCTTTAGCCTTTAGCTTTAGCTTTAGCTTTAGCTTTAGCTTTAGCTTAGCTTTAGCTTAGCGTTAGCTTAGTGTTAGCTTAGCTTTAGCTTAGCTTAGCTTTAGCTTAGCTTCAGCTTAGCTTCAGCTTAGCTTAGCTTAGCTTTAGCTTAGCTTTAGCTTAGCTTTAGTTTAGCTTTAGCTTAGCTTTAGCTTAGCTTAGCCTTAGCTTAGCTTTAGCTTAGCTTTAGCTTAGATTTAGCTTAGCGTTAGCTTAGCTTTAGCTTAGCTTCAGCTTAGTGTTAGCTTAGCTTTAGCTTAGCTTAGCTTTAGCTTAGCTTTAGCTTAGCTTTAGCTTAGCTTTAGCTTAGCTTTAGTTTAGCTTAGCTTTAGCCCAGCTTTAGCTTAGCTTTAGCTTAGCTTCAGCTTAGCTTCATCTCAGCTTTAGCTTAGCTTTAGCTTAGCTTTAGCTTAGCTTTCGCTTAGTGTTAGCTTAGCTTTAGCTTAGCTTTAGCTTAGCTTTAGCTTAGTGTTAGCTTAGCTTTAGCTTCGCTTTAGCTTAGCCGTAGCTTATATTTAGCTTAGTTTTCGCTTAGCTTCAGCTTAGCTTTAGCTTAGCTTTAGCTTAGTGTTAGCTTAGCTTTAGCTTAGCTTTAGCTTAGCTTTAGCTTAGCTTTAGCCCAGCTTTAGCTTTAGCTTTAGCTTAGCTTTAGCTTAGCTTCAGCTTAGCTTTAGCTTAGCTTAACTTAGCTTCAGCTTAGCTTTAGCTTAGCGTTAGCTTAGTGTTAGCTTAGCTTTAGCTTAGCTTTAGCTTAGCTTTAGCTTAGCTTCAGCTTAACTTTAGCTTAGCTTTAGCTTAGCTTTAGCTTAGCTTTAGCTTATCTTTAGCTTAGCTAGTTTAGCTTTGCTGTAACTACTAATGCTGCTTTCCTAGGGGGCTCCAACTTCTAGGTAGGGTCGCACCGGGATAATTTGCTCCACCTCTTGTGCGTTATAATTGCAACTCCTCTGGTTGGCTTGGTATTCCCTGCTGCCATAAAGATGTGCCCACCTTCGGTAGCCCAGTGTTCCTCTGGAGTCGTCCTCATGGTTTCATTGATGGTAATGAAATCCCACCTCGTGCTTCCAAACTCTTTCAAAAGCTCGCACACTCTGTCGTTATCTGTCATCCCCCGAACGTTCTTGTGGAACAGTGCGAGGTCGCGGTCTGCGGCGATGTCGGTCTTATCGATGTTCTTCTGATCCGTCGTCCGCTCCTCGGCGACGTTGGCGGATGAGTCCTGAGATGCATGTACCAAAGATCTTTTGGGGAAATCTCCATCTACAAATCTGTATTTTCGCCGGCCCCCTCCTCCAAGAACCTGCGGCGATTGGCTCCCGTATCTTCTGAAGCCTCCTGGTTTTTTGATTCAGGAATCGGTAATGATACGAATGTGGGTGTATTTCCTATCATTGTGTATCCCCCTTCCGGTGCAGGAGTCGGTGAAACAGAAATTGTCTTGGTAGTTGTGGGAGTACACGGGGGCGCGGGGGAAGTGATCGGAATACCATTTTTCCCAAATCCACGTTTTACATCAACCCGTCCTCCATCAAAAAATCGCGTGCTCAAGGGTGAAACATGTTGAATTAATCTTCGTAGTGGTACTCGTGCGCGGTCTCGGCGTTGAGGCCGTCACTCTTCGCGCTTCCTCCGCCATTCCCTCATGAACTCCACCACTGTCTCATGTACTTCGACTCCGACTCCGAACGTCTCCAATTTTCCCACCCCATCCACTCTTCCCACCTCCTCCTTCTTGATTTTGACAACGCCTGTGTCCCAGTAAATGCGAATGTCACTTTGTTTATGCCCCTTGTTCATCAGGTTGTGCTTCAGCTGCCCCAAAGTCTTGTCGATGACCCGCTTTTCGTATGTGTCGTTGGCTGTGAACCACATCTTTTCTCCACAGTCCCGGGGAATCTTCTGGCCGCGCATTTTCTTCAGGAATCCAATTTTTGTCGCCTTGGTCCTGAAGGTTATGATGCCTATCTTCGACGGGTCAATAAAAGTAAATATGTTTGACGTTTTCTGGTTCATGCTATTGTCGTGTACTATCTTTTGTACTTGTTTGATGATGTTATCTTCCTTCTCATCCTCCTTCAGACCACCAACAATCACCTGTAGGTCTCTCTCTCCATCACGTTCGTCGTCTTGTGGATGTATTGGGGGCTTCTCCTGGTTGCTCAGGGCTTCTTGGATCTTTGTGCCGAGGATCGTCTCCAGCTCATTTTTGAGGTCAGTCTTTGGAACGTAGAGGTCCAGGTCGTCCCTCAAATTTTCCACCTGCATCTCGAGATCGTTCATTGCGTCGTCCATTTTTTGCTCCAGTGTAGTTACTGCTTGTTGTGCGTCATGTGCCTCATCCTTCGCTTCTTGGATCATTCCTTTGACATCGGTGAGGTCCGTCTCGAGTTTTCCGAAACGATCTGCAAGTCTCTTTTCATATGCTAAAAACCATGGCGGCGCTGCGCTCAAAGAATCTTCCGCCGGTGTGGCAGCGACTATCAAAGCCTTATCCTCCTTCTTCGGTTTCTGTTTTTGGGGAGTGGATCCGGTACTCTGACCAGCTCGTTTCGACATCCCTGCCCAGCTCGGCGCCACGAGCGTGCACGAGAACGTGGATGAGAAGTCAAAGTGAGTTACAGTAGCTGTGAGCCAGTAGCTGTGAGCCTTGAGCCAAAATGGCTATTGTATATGGAATAATTTACATGTGTATTCCGTGTGTTTCTTCGGTGTCCAATGGTATTCGAGTCCAGCGTGGAGGAATTGGCAACGAGGCTGCTTGCGGGGGTGACGGTCCCATTTCGGAATTGTTTTGTTGTGCTCAGCGGCATGGTTGGTTGCCCGATGACCAGCGGCTTCAGCACTGCATGGGCCGCATCGAATCACTTCCGGTTCGGTTAGTTGTGTTTCGTACAGTCGGACCAGGTCGGTTCAGGGAGGGTACAGGTTGGTTCAGGGAGGGTACTTTAGTGTTCTTCGTGTTTTCTGGATGTTCTTGTGCATTTTAGGGAGGGTGCCCTTGGATGTTTTGCTTTTTTTGGCCGACGGAGGATCTCATGCTCTTGAGGGGTGTTATTGGCCTCGGTACGACTGTATGCTCCAGGCGGGGCACTCCGTCGGGATATGAGTTCACGTTATTCGCCGAACTCCTCATTTACCAGTGCTTCGCATTCGTGCAAGTTCATGGATGGCTTCCGTGAGGCTTTATTCTTGACGTCGTCATTTCGCCCTCCTATCGTATCCTCCTGCTCATCCGTTCCGTCACCTACATCCTCCAATGCGCACAGTTCCCATCTTCCGATTGCGCATCTCACAACGGGGTCCTCAGAATTTCAGAGCCGCTACGACACGCGTCGGCGGATGGATGAGAAAACCAGGCCATGGGAAGGGATTGGTTGAAGAGGTAGGATGTCAGATATGGCGCGAGCCCGTGGCCTCCGCGTGTACGGCTTGGACTGGGCACCAGGCCTGGACCTCCATTCGTGGTATGCAATCTAAGCACGCAGGCCGATTCTGCCGCACGGCATGCAACGACCGGCAAGCCGCACACCAGAGGTCACCCTTGCCGAGGGCCACTCTTGCGCGTAGCCGATCTGATTGGGAAGACGCGCAGGCGCTCTCCTCGTGCTCGGGCCAATTTTCGGGCCCGGATCAATATTTGATGGCCCCTGGGACGGAGAACGGCCTTCGGAGGCCGGTACAGAAAACCGGCAGGCACTGAAGAGATCACGACTTCGGAGGCCCGGGCGCCTTCCGAGTTACCCCCCTTTGGCGTAACGCACGCGTCCCCTCCGGGGCCCCCTGGGTCACACCCCCGAGCTCTAAAAAGGGCCGTGCCCCTCCGTCACGAGCGGCGAACGTATCCATATCCACGTTCTCGCGGTCAGGATTCGGGGGCGCGATCCTGCGGATACGCGGTCGCACGGATACGTTCCGCGCGGGGCATCCGCGAACGCCCCGTATCCGCGGGGTCGCAGCAAAGGGGCCCGACCCGCTCCCGCCCGGCACCAGCGCCCTCGCAGGACGCCGACGTCATCGTCGTCAGCGACCTGCTCTACAACGCCGAGCTGGCGAGGACCGTCGGCGAGCGGATCGGTCAGGCGGCCGCCCGCCGCGTCGCGGGCCTCACCGCCGGAGGGCGTCGTCGACGACAACGTCGACCTCATGGCCAGCTTCGACCTCAACGACGAGAGCGTCGACTTTGCCGCCGTCATCGCCATTTGTTGTCGTCGTTGTTGTCCGCTTCGTCGTCAGCGTCGCCTTCATCGTTGCCAGTTCAGGGGGGACAAACAAGTGTGGAGGATGCAGGAGGAGAAGGAGGGCGGGATGAGAGGGTGGGGGCAGGTTTCGTCGGATAGTCTCAGAAGTGGTTGGGATTTTCGACATGGTCTTCGGGTCAACTGGAGGTGATGGCGAAGCAGGGATGGTGAAGAGGAGCAGGTGGAGGTGGAGGAGGAGGAAGAAGAGGATGACCAGGATCAGAGGGAGGAGAAGGAGGAGGACGGAGGATGAGAGGGATGGAGGGGTACGGAACACGAGCCGAAGGTTTCGAGAAGCTCTAGGATGTTCTGTTGGTGATTGTGGGGGGTAACAGGGGGAAGGGGGACGAGATACCAAGAGGTGAGGACCTCGGAGCTATGATAGAGGAGGGAGTGAGAGGAGGAGGACAGGAATGAGACAGGACGAGGAGCACCGATATCCTCCACCGCATCGTCCTCCTCCTCCACCGCTTGGTCATGCTCGTCATCCCCTTCATCCTCTCTCATATTTTCTCCTGACCCCTCCTATTCGCACCATTCCTCGTCACCCTACTCGTATCATACCTCCCCAGTCCTTCTCCTCCCACCCCCTGCCTCTCCGCACTCGCCCCCTGCCCAGCTAATTTGGCTGGTGAGCCGGACAGGGTGGCTGCCGCAACGGCAATCGCGACTGGCTACCACTACCGCCCCAGATGCAGAAGGAGGAAAAGGTCGGAGGACGGGGCGGGGGCGGTGGGATAGGCGGGGGGGAGCGGGTGACCACATGGAGATGGGCAGGGAGGCGGGGTGGGCCGACAGGATGTGTTTGGCAGGTTGGCACAGAGGCACGGATCGGATGTGGACTCCTCCTCCTCCTCCTCCTTTTCCTGCTCTTCCGTAGCCATTTTGGCTCAAGATGCCTTGTTCCCCAGGGGACCAAACGGATACCGCTGGTCCGCGGCAGCTTTCACATTCTCCGCCTGGTTCTCCCCAGGTGCGGAGCCCTGCTACAGTCAGCAGGGCCGTCAGCGCATGGGCCGCAACGTGGGCAACAATGGCGCGTGCGGCAAGGGCAAAGACAAGTCGGGCACCTTCGTCAGCTGCTCGGCTTGCCGCTATCGGTGGAACTTCAAGTCCAACCACTGGTGCTACCAGTGTTGCTCGCCGACGGTTCCGCACCCCTCGCCCGACAAGATGCCCACTGGCCAGTGGTCGTTCGGCCCGCCCACGCTCGCGTCGAACCCGTTCGACACCGCCTCGGGTGCGGCGCCGCCTGGGGGGGGCCATTCCAAGGGCCCTCCTGTTCCGCCGAGGGCCGCCAAGGGTGCACCCAAGGAGCGCCGGCCGTGGGTTTGGCATGGACCAGGCTGGTACCCCTACGGTGGCGGACCGCCGCCCGAGGAGCCGCGTGAGGCCCCGAGGCCCTCTGACCCCCTCGCGCTGCTCCGCGAGAAGCTCGGCGACTGTGACGAGCTTGAGGCCCTGTCCGCCAAGCTGGCCGCCACGGAGCAGCCTGCCGCCGAGGCCCCTCGCCGCCCGCCCCTTTTGGAGGAGGAGGTCTCTGCGAAGGGAATTGCGTGCAGGCGCGCGCAGGCGTGGCTTGAGACCTGCGCGCGGCGTGTCGTCGAGGGAGAGGCCTGGCTGGCCGACGCCAAGGCTGCTGAGGACGCGGCGGCGGAGGCGGCGCACCAGGCCCAGCACGACTGGGAGGAGGCTTGCGCCAAGCAGCTCCCGACGCCATCGACACCGCGGTCGGAGACGGCATCCGCTGCTACGGCCATCAACCTTTCGACGCTCGTCGACGAGGGCTCGCTGCGCTTCGTCGACGGCCCCCTCTTCGACCTGGAGGGCCTCGAGATCGACGAGACAGAGCGCACCGAGTGGGCTCGCATCAAGGGTGAGCTCGCCACCAGCGTGCAGGCCAAGGTCCAGGAGGCCTTGGGTCCCGCCGCTCAGCAGATCCTCAAGCTGCGGGAGGAGGCCCAAGCTCTCCACGCCAGGCTCCAGGCCAAGAGGCGCCGCGGCCAGGATGGCGGCCCCGCCACGGGCCCTGCGGAGCCTTCGGCTACTGCTCCTGGGGCCTCTTCTGCTGGCGGCAGTGCTGCTGGATCGTCCCGTGGTGGAGGTGAGCGCAGCAGCGCCGAGGCCCTTCGAGCCGCTGCCAGAGCCAAGGCCAGTGCAGCTATTGACGAGAAGAAGCGTGACACGCAGGATGTTTAGCACCTGCGATTGCACGGCTGCGGTCACATATGGCGGCTCGCCTTTCCCGTTCTACGGGGACATCTTCCTCTCGAAGGATGACGAGTCCGCCTTCCTCCCCGACCTGGAGGTTTTCGGCCACTACAAGTTCTACTACTTTCAGAGCGATGACGACTCTGAGTTCGAGGACAGGGTGCTCCACTGCAAGGACCAGAACCCTGCCAGGCGTGCGGCCCTACATAATCGTCTGCAACTTGAGAGGCAGCTGAGGTCGCTTACTGGTGCTTGGGTACCTGACCCCAGCACTGTTGATGAAGATTGGGATTTCGCCGACTGGAAGAGGATGCGCGTCCCATGCGCTGCCAGTTTCCTGGCATATCCAGCACTACAGCCTCTCGTCCAGGAGGTTGCTGACACCGCAGGGCATGGAAACCCTGCGGTTGCTCAGTTTGACATGGCCAGGCAGATGTGCGAGAGAGCGCGGCACGCTCGCCGTCGCCAGCGGCAGGCGTACCGTGACTACCTCAACGGCCTCCGCGACATCGACTACGACGATTGGCAGGAGGAGTTGGCTCGCAACGCCCTGAGTTAAATCGATGCGCGCCGCGCGCTTGATACCAGGGCCCCGCAGCGACGGGAGACCCCGCCTGATGCTCCAACTGTGGTATTGCCGTTTTGTGGGAGACCGTGCCTCTCCGCGCCGTCTCAGACGTGTGCGTCGGATTTCACGCATTCCATTTCAGGTGTTGCGGGCCCCCCCGCCTCGCCACCCTTGGCTCCGAGGACTTCTATGTGTGCTTCGTTTTCGGCGACGGCACCAACCTCCAGGAGCGCTCCGACTTCGGCTCCTCCAGCGGCTTCGGATTCTTGCACACAGAGTATTGCTACAAGTATTGCTACTGGAGGCCCGTGCATGGAGGCAGCAGAGGAGGGTGGTGCCAATCCTCATTCAGCTCGTTTGTTGTTCGCCAATATCAGTGAGTGGGGGCCCAAGGCTCAGTCATTCATGCGAGGAGCCGGCACCATGTTTGAGACTGTTGCCTTCGCCGAGACCCATGTCAAGGCCAGTGTCATGGAGGCAGTCCGTGCGGAGCTGCTCAAGGGCGGGTGGAAGATGGTTGGCACCCCTGCATCGGCATCGGCATCCTCATCTTCGGGCTCCAGGGGTGGTGAGTGGGTTGTGCACACAGGGCACATTGCTGCCACTTCCTGGGAGCGTCTCCGTTCTGCCAAGCCGAGGGCCATTGAGGGGTTTTGCCCCAGCACCCTGCATCTCAAGCGTGGCAACGTTGCGCTGTTGTCGGCCTACCTATTCCCAGGGCCCAAAACAGGTGGCATCAATACTTCCCGTGTTCGTGCTGTCAGCAGGTTTGTCTGCTCCTTGGCTGACCCGTGGATCATTTGTGCGGACTGGAATTTGGAACCAGACGAGCTGACCAAGAGCGGCCTGCTTGAAGTGTGGGACGGGGAGATTGTCACCCCGAGTGGATGCTGCGCTACTTGTGCTCTTGGCAGTGGCTCTTTGATCGGCTACTTGGTGGTCAAGAGGGGTTTTGCAGACCAGCTCAGAGTCAAGTCATTCACACTCGTTCCATGGAAGACACATGTAGCCCTGGACATTGAGATTATGTCAGGGCGCGCTGATTGGCGGCATCAGGTTTTGGATCCCCCCAGTGAGCTCCCACAAAGGCCCAGGCCCAAGAGGGCCTCTGACCCTGACAGTAAGCGCTCGAGGCGCCGTGAGGAAGCTCGTGTTCGCAGACGAGAACGACTCAGCGCCGACCTGCAGGGTGCCTTCGACGAAGTCACCCCCCCCCTGAGGATGAGGAGCCTGATGACGCAGCTGCGCAGGTACCCTTTCGCGTTGAGTCGGACGACTGGGCCGTCGCTGCCACTGAGGCTCAGCCGTGGGTAAGTATCTGCTCGGACTCGGAGGCTTGGGCTTTCCCTACAGGCTCGGCAGATGACGTACAGTCCTTCTCCGTATCAGCGCTGGGTATCTACCTTGGAACTGGCCATATTACGTATTGAAGGTATCCCATCCGACCAGCAGGCCCAGCACATTGGACGCGGCAATTTGTATGGCCTTACTCGACGCAAGTTACAGCCGTCCCCAGGGCGTACTCATATGCGCAACCCGACCATGGAGTTTTGGTGGGCGATGTCGTCGCTGGTCACACGATACACCTTCCTGCGCCGACGCGATCGGGACCCCGTGCAGGGGGGGTCTTATTACTTCCATAGCCAGCCTGATTGACCTGGCCGGGGCCCAGCCGAGGGCCGTTCTATCTGGACCCAGGGCCACCCACCAGGAGGTGCAGGAGTGGTTCGACGTGGCTTGTCTCATCTGTGGGCCACCGCTGGATGTCGAGACCCTTGAGCGGTTTGGCGAGGTCACGGAAACTTGGTGCTCGCGCTCCTGGGGTAGGGCCTTAGTGTCCTCGGGCGCCGCCTACGTCAAGTGGGCCAGGGACTGCTGGCGCACCAGCCCATCAGTGGTCCATCGTCACGTCCGTGACCCTCCACAGCCTGCTGCGCTCGAAGTTCCTGGCGATGGACCCGAGGAGGCCACTGGGGACCCTGACAAGATCATGGAGCACAAGCTGCAGGCGCGGCGGACCATTTGGACTGATCCACAGGCGTCGCGGGAGGACCTGCGCAGG